TGAAATGGTCGATCGACCCCAAATGGGGTCCCGACCCACAGGTTGAGAACCACTGCATTACATGGAACAGAATCTTGAGTTCGTTTTATCTGCTCCACAGGGCTCTTCTGTTCTGATTCAATAATTCTGTTCAGGCCCCAAATCCATTTAACTCAGCAGCCTGCAATCCTTCTGCCATGAATAAGCTCTCTGAATACTACAGAGAGCTCTTATGCATTTGCCATGGAACTTGCCCATTTTGTAAACCTTAGGGTTCTGAGGAAAATTCATGCAGGGCATTCTTTAGGTTGCATCTTCAATGTATATAAAGTACGAGTTAACTTACTTGTTTCTCTCCTAAAATTGTACATCACAGCTAATTTGTAGAAGATAATCTATCATGGGAGAACATGTTTTCGTAAATATGAAACCTCCCATTAAAATATTAACATTTCTTGCAAAACATGAAAACTTCTTTTTTTTCAAAATGAACTTCCTCAACTGGTTGAAACTGGGCAAACTGTGGCTTTTTCTGTTTACTACTTACAAATCCAAACAAAGAATGGGAAAACAAAAGTTTTGCTTTGCAGCAGCACAAACAGCATACACTCAATTCTTCATGTAATTAAGGTTGTAGTCCAAAGTACCAATTCTGCAAGATGTATGAACAAGTTGCTACAATCTCAGTCTATAAATGTTTCCAATGCATAAATAGTGGATGGAGTCTGCAGTTCTCACGAGAAACATGGGCCTTCCCCCCAAGCAGAGACTATTGTAAGCCACTAAAACTAAAGTAAAAATAGCATTTCTTTTTACAAGGAGGGAGTAGTTGCAATCTGTTAAATTTGACAACCATGACCTAGATAATTTAAGAGTATTTATATAATTCGTTGAATTTAGAGGCCACCCAATTCCAGATGACTTATATAATAAGAGGACAGTAAAAAAGAGAGAGAAAATCACGACTACTTATAACAACATTATTTACAAGTAAAAGGCACTTTCAAAAGCAAGGAAGCTAATACAAGCTCCCCACCTCTCTGACTCAAAATAAACAAAGACTGGAAGATTCACCGACTTGGTTCCTGTATCAGGTTAAGACACAACTGTGCTTACTTTGCTTTGGGTTTAGCATATAATATTAACTATTGTAAGTTATAATTTATAACTGAAAATATTGCATCAACTTAGATGTAATTTAATAAGCCACAAATATGTAATCCACGTGAACCAGCCCACAGCTTGTTTTATGTACAATATTTTTTTTAA